GATGAGAAACCGAGGTCCCGTGGATACATTGGCATGCATGTAAAAGATACCTTGGTAGTTGGAATTCAATATAAGAGTAGGCCATAATGCCACTGCCAGGGTAAAATTTACCTCATAACACACTGTGTAGCATGTGCCCGTCTTCCTTCATTAGCCTAGTATAGGAGCAGAACAATAGGAAGTTAAACCCCATTTCATTTCATTTCTGCACGAAATGGACCTATGAACGCGGGTATACTTGTACCATCCAACGAGCCACAAGGGAAATTTTGCCCGGACGGTGTTTTTTTCTCCTACTCTACCTCAAATGCAAACTGTCAAAGCTTCTTTTTCATGTTCATCATATTAGACGTTGTACCTTCAAATGCCCTGCATCACTGACGGGGGAAAATTAAGGAAAACTTTCTCTACCAATAACAGGATCGAACCCCGGACCTACGGATTAGTGAGACAATCAATTTACTCACTGAACTACCTTGGCTATCGTACACTCAGTAATCTTCTTCTTGGAGCATAGTCGTTCAGATTTTATGAAAAACTGAGGTCTTGTGTACACATTGCCGTGCACGTAAAAGATCCCACAGCAGTTGGAATGCACTACAAGAGTAGGTCAGAGCGCCGCTGTTTGGGAAAATTTCCTTCATAGCCTAAGACTTTGGAAATTCATGTACGATGGACATAAAACTTGTTCTGTGGATAATTGGGAATCGATCGACAGACATTAGTTCTTAACGATTCCAAGATGGCTGCAATTACATTGTACTCGGTTCATACTAGACAAGGGGACAACGCATTATTTTATGAATTATTCAGTTGCCAAAAACCGAGGTCCCATTAGATCCCTTGGCAGTTGGAATTTGATATATGAGTAGGCCATGCAGCAAAATTTCTCTTATAGCATACAATATGGCGAATGTGGTTCCCATACTCTTAGTTCCTGTGGCCATGCTCTTCAAATATAGGCCTAAGGCTTTTCACAGTTGCGCATTGATGGACAGGATTTTATTTTTGGTTGCGATCTTGATGTGCTCGTTCCCTGGTTCATATAATAATCGACTAATCGTGTACTTGTTTCACTTACCTTTTGATCTACAAGATGAGGTAATGTTTTCCGTACGTGTTCCTGAATACGGAAAAAAGCCAGTGAAGCATCGTTTGCTATAATATTTAAATTCTCTGATACACGGTCAGCAACTGAAATAATAAAATTGAAATGGGGTTTAATATCTCATCATTAACACAAAACTTTGGTCTTTGGTCAATTTTTCACGTATTGAAGTGCTTCTCCCCAGTCGTCTTCAAATTAGGGAGGTTGTGTGGCCGATTGGTTAACGTGAGCGCATGAAATCACAGGGTCTGTCATTGAGTCAAGTGGCATGGTTTCGATTCCCCTCTTGTACATTACAAGGAGTAGGGACGCCTGTCCAACCTCATGGGTTTTCTGCGGGTCTTCTGCAGTTTCCCCCCATTGCTAAAGATCTGAAATGACCTAGTTTGTGTCAAGTGGACATTAAACCCCATTTCTCTCTCTCTTCTTGGAACTCCAACTGACATGGGACCTTTGTTTTTACATGAATGACTAGATGCTGTTTCTAGCCAATGTGTGTACATGAACTGACCTCAGTTTTGCCACATTTGAATGACAAGATGCTGTACCTCTCCAGGCCCTGGCCCTACCGTATAACAATCTTGAGGTCCATTCTCAGTCAACAACCGGGGTCGACCTTAGAACTTCCAGGTTAGTGAGTCGGTGCCTTAATCACTGCACCACCTTGACACCAATATCAACCAAATTATAAACCAGTTCAGGTGTTTATTTGAAACTTGGTTTTAGTAGTTAACACAGAACCAATTGGAATGTCAAACTAATAGAATTAAATAGATTTCGGTGGATTTTGTGGCCTGACCTTTTCTTGTTTTATGGTCTAACTCTGGATCAGCATAATCATCAAACATGGTTGAACCAGAACTACTTCCTGTCAACCTCCCATATCGACCATCTCCACCTAAAACGAGAGAAAGAGAAACAGCGTCATTTCTGGACTAACATAAGGTTCCATTTTATTTCAATGAAGAGCTTGTGCATAGGGGTCTTTAGCTGTGGGGGGAAACCGGAAGACCTGGAGAAAACCCATGAGGGACATGTGACTCTACTCCTTGTCACGTACACAAGCAGCTAGGGATCAAATGGAATCATCTAAAGTATAAAACTTAAGTATAAAAATCTGATCTTCTTGTTAAAGTGTCTGCAAGGAATATATATGATATATTTCAGCAATGGCTCAACCGGCTAGCACCCATTCATCCTGTTGCCTTAATTTAAACCTTGTTCTACCAATATATTATTATTAAGGGGCCTTAAAAGAACAAATTGCAAATATACTCCAGTGAATACTGGTTAACATACAAGTGATGGATCCGCGAAGAAAAACAGATGCTGTGTTGACTTTTGATTAGTTTAGTTTGTTACATTTCGGTCTCCCTTAAAACTGGTTAATTCTAAAGGAAATTGAATATTAATAAATAACAATAATCAATGTTGTTGACGATAATTTTGATCGTTTTTCATTAGTCAGTGCCGTTGTTGAGTCACTCTACAAGGTGAAAAAAGAGAGAGAAATGGGGTTTAACGTCCACTCAACACAAACTAGGTCATTTTGGAACTAATACATGGTTCAATTTTATTTCAATAATAAGCATGCGCGTAGGGGTCTTTTAAACTTTAGGAAACCGGAGGAATGAAAACCCACGAGGTTGGACAGGTGACCCTACTCCTTGTCACGTACAACCGGGGGCTCTACAAGGTAGGACTATATGTATAGTAATAGTAACAATTCTAATCTCGCGACAAGGGCCATGGGGCGTCGACAGATGAGCTATCTGTGTGTTTGACAGTGACACAGTTCATTTCTAATCTTCGTTTATGGTTTCGACATTTTACTTTTCGCCTAGGTCTAGTACTTCTTTTACTCACCTTGCATTTTATTTTGATGGTGGAACCACAAATAATTCATTCCATTTTCCATTCAGTCATATTACAATAAAATCTATACACAAGCAGTTCTAAATTTACAATCAAAATAAGAAAATCAATAATAGCAATAATTTATTCTTCGATTATAAACAAAGGGCAGATAATTCTAAATAAACGTGTCAGACACGAATATCCAGTTTTCTGAACTCGTATTCATTCGGGTCTCGTCGGTTTTGTACTTATAAATTGTCTCTTGCGTTAGACTGGTGCTTCTATGCATTCTGGTCTGGATCCAAAGATTCACATGACAAACACCATTTTTTAACTGAAAGCTGCCAGGTTATTGTGGGTCAAAATGGGGTTACAGGGTATTTTTTGAACTGAGGAACAAATATTTAAATATTTGCAAACTGTTCAGTTGGTTGGATGAAGACCCGCCCTGTTTCCGATGGACCTGTATTTCTAAACCTTTCAAGATAACTTTCAAGTACCATAAGATTCCTTGGCAGTTAATGGAATTCGATATAACAGTAGGCCATGGAGCAAAATTTCCCTTACAGCACACAATATGGCGTATGCACGTCTTCATTAGCCTAGTAGAACTTTAACCCACATTTCATTTATTACCTACACTTCACAATTCACCCTACTGCTACTTGTGCAAATATACCTACGTTTGTGAAATGAAATGGGGTTCACAGTCCTACTATTCTGCTACGACGGGGCCAATGAAGTAGGGCATACTCCATAGTGCGCTTTGGGGGAAATTTTACCCAGAGAGCGGCGCTGCGGACGACTCTTATATCGAATTCCTACTGGCAGGGGATTTTTTACGCTAGCAAAACATCGCACCATTTATAAAAACAGGCGATTTAATTTGTAAAAAATGAAATGAAATGGGGTTTTAACGTCCTACTGTTTTGCTATGAGGGAAATTTAGCCAGGGCAGCGGCGCTACGGCCTACTCTTATATCGAATTCCAACTGCCAAGGGATCTTTTACATGCACGCCAATGTGTACACAGGACCTTGGTTTTTCATCCCATCCGAACGACAAGACAGCTGTCCTTGTCAGGCCCTCTGTCCTGCATCACTGACAAAGGGGAAACCACGCCGGAAAATCTGGATAAACTTTCTCGGCCAATGCAGGGATCGAACACCCGACCTCAAGGCTAGCGAGCCAGAGTCTTACCCACTTAGCCACGTGATCCCCCAATTTGTAAAAAAGTTCAAAAGATCGTCCAAAAGATCTGAACAGGGTCTTCAAAGAAAATAAGCCTGATATCAAGTGTAGTACAAGATTAAAAGGACAAAGAACCATGCCTTTTATACAGATTGAGGCATCTGGTATTTTAATAAACTATTTTTCAGAAATTTGTCTCTTGTGTTGTTCATAAGTTCTCAACCTGAACCATTTCCCAAAATGTCTGACTGAAAAAAGTCCCATTATAATATTGATAATTCATTAATTTAGAACCAGATTCTTGTCTCGGATCACTGCAAATGGCATTTCCGGGCTTCATCTAACCTTGCGAAATATTCTGTAGGAGGCCAGCTAGATTCTCCTATGTGCAACACTGCTCCCTGTATCCATGGTTTCTGGATCCGCCTTTTGTGTGCCCATGAGGAAAACTTTACGTAGCCAGGGTGTTTCGACCTACTCTTAAAAGTACAACTGTCATGGGTAAAATGGGTTCTTTTACGCCCATGCCAATGTGTACAGTGTACAAAGAAAAAGAGAGATAGGGTTTAAACTGACACAAACTAGGTCATTTCTGGACTAACATATGGTTCAATTAAATTTCAATAATTGGCTTGCGCGTTGGGGTCTTTTGCAGCGGGAGGAAACCGAAGGACCCGGAAACCCACGAGATTGGACAGGCGGTCTGTCATTGATCTCATGATACAACATGCATGCGCTAACCATTCAGCCATCCTCCCTCCCCCCCCCGGTACAGTGTAAAAAGGTCATATCCCAACGAAAAGATGCAAGCCCAAGGGAACTAGTTTTCAAAGGAAAACATAAATAGATTTTATATTTTTTTATTTTCATTTTACTACAATTTTTTTTTTACTCGATATGGATATAATTTCTCTTCCACTCATAAATAAAATGATCAACAATGAAAACATTAGAACTGAGATAGTCTTTGCAAATTTTGGTAACAAAAAATCTGAAAAGTAAAAAAAACAACAGTTTCTGTTAAACATTTTAAAATCATACATTATGAAAGAGGATATTTGTAACCCAGGTTTGGTTAGGGTATCGATAAGACGATACTTGTCGAAACACCATGCTCTTAGAATAAACCTAGTGATTATATCTCATGGTTTCCCATAAAAATTGTGTTCTGTTAAGGTTTACATGTACTTGTTCTATTGTCTAGGATTAATTCTGTCAGGATACTTGTTCTGTTGTCTGGGTAAATGCAGCCAGGATACTTGTTCTGCTGTCTTGGTAAATGCAGTCAGAGTACTTGTTCTATATCTAGGATATATTCTGTCAGGGTCCTTGTTCTCTTGTCTGGGTAAATGCAGTCAGGGTACTTGTTCTGCTGTCTGAGTAAATGCAGTAAGGGTACCAGGTTCCTGAAGCAACGACCACAGGTTTTACAACATCTGGACGTTGCTAGATTACTTTACAATTCCCGAACTTATAGCTACGTTATCTGCAGACATGTGAACAGTAGTGTCCAATCAGAGGTTGTGACATAGAGACCTCCACGGAAACCTTGACTGAACCTTGAACTCGATTATCACAGGTAGACATTTTAGCTGGAAAGCGCGATGATCGAGGAATCTGATAGGCTCTCAAGCTGGGTCGGTACCCAATTGAAATCAGTGCTGAAATATGCAGGGAATTACGTGAAGGCCTTGATGAGATGTAAGTAGTTCCAGCGAGATCAAGCCTTCTATTGAAGCTGGCAGGGTACTTACTTATTTATTCTATTGTCTAGTAGTTCTTTATGTTACATTGAAAACACATCTCTCTTAGCTAGTTCAGGCTTATCGTATCCCATTTCTTCTGGTGTCAATATTCCAAGTTCTGTTAATGTGGGTCGAATTTCTTGAAGCATGTATGGCCAAATATCTTTGTTTGCACTGCTCTTTTCCTGAAATAAATAGTATTTAATCTCCCATCAACAACATTTTTAGGCTAACAGAGAGAGAGAGAGAGAAATGAGGTTTAACGTCCACTCGACACAAACTTGGCAGGGGCGGATTGGGGCCGGGAACCGGCCCGGGCTCCCGTGTCGGAGTGGCCCCTTTTACTGACCGCGGAGCCGAGTCACAGCGTTTGTTTTTAGCATGTTCAAAACAAACACCAAGGTATGAGGACACAACTGGAAAGCTATGAGGACACAACTTTTTTCAAGTTTTTAATTTTTTGGGACATTTTCGCGTGTTGTGTTCACGTTTGCCGGCGACCTTTTCATTTTTTGTCCGACCGGCCCTTCGGGCGATCACCCGATGGCCCAATCCGCCCCTGAAACTTGACCATTTAGGGACTAACACATGGTTCAACTTTATTTCAATAATTCGTAGGTGTCTTTAGCAGTGGGGGAGGGAGAGAGAAATGGGGTTTGACGTCCACTCGACACAAACTAGGCCATTTTGGGACTAACACATGGTTCAACTTTATTTCAATAATTCACTTGCGTGTTGAGGTATTTAGCAGTGGGAGGAAACTGAGGACCCGGAGAAAACCCATGAGGTTGGACAGGTGACCCTGCTCCTTGTCACATAAAACCGGGGAATTGAAACCATGCCAGTTGACTCAATTACAGACCTTATTATACAGCGCACACATGCTAACCATTCGGCCATCCACCCCCCCCCCCCCTCATAGAAATATGAGGAATTTGTGAGTATTATCTAGGTAGAAATAGAACTTATCTTCACATTAACTTACTTTAATAGCCTCTAAAAATCTAACAGCAAGTGCATAATCATTTAGGTTTCTGCACACTTTCATGGCCTCTATAACAAGTTCTGGTTCAGCAACAAAATCTTCACCCTGTGAAAACATAAATAATTCATTTATCTTCTTTCCATTGAAAAAGAATCATACTCGCTTTTTCCCTATCTGATTAGCTAAGACACTGTTTCTAGCTAGGCTCTCCAAAGGGAAACCACTCCAAAAAAACCTAAGAAACTTTCTTGGTCAACACCAGGATCCCACCCAAGCCTTCCTGTTGACTCCTGGTTAAGGAAGCCAGTACTTTACTAACTCAGCCACTGCAGCTCCACCAAAGATTTAATCATTTCAAAACAAAAATGTGTGGCTTAATATATTTGAATCCAGCGGACAGTGGGAATTGATCAGATTATTTTCAGATATTTACTTTTTAATCTCCCCATTGGAAATGAAATGGAGTTTAACATCCTACTGTTCTGCTCCAAACTGGGCAAATGAAGACGGGACATGAAGGAATAAAATATGAAGTGGGGAAACAACATTTGAAGTTTCAGTTCATTTTCGAAATCATTTGTTTCTCCAAGATTCCAGAAGTTTTACTGTCAGTAAACATATTTTGAAATTTTCAACTCACTACCTCATAACACCTGTTACATTCCTAACCACCTGGTCAGGGCTTAACAAATTTTATCCAGTGCACAATGGACATTGAAAGAGTTTTAACTAGATTTCAAAACTGCAAAAACAGTAAATGCCAGTCCTCAGTGACCAAGGCTCAATGTAGGTGTATACTATGTGTTTCAGGTCGGTCGTATATGCCTTGGGGCCTGTTTCACAAAATTTTAACTAAGATAAAATCCAAATTTTAGTAATTTGATTGGATAATATTAGACTGATTTTAGTGCTTAGCCAATCAAAATTGAAGTATCTACTAAAATTTGGATTTTATCTTTAGTTAAGATTTCGAGAAACAGAGCCCTGGTTTATATTGTACCTGAAGATCGTTTATGACAGATCTGATCGTCCAGCCATCACATCGTTCACTTTGAATTTTTTTAAGATATGTGTCACTGGTATTTACTTGTCCATGGCTGTATCTAACAGTGGTGGATGCTGAAATACGATAATAAAACAATTTAAATATTTATAAATGAAGACGGTCATACGCCATGTAGAGTACTATAAGGTAAATTTTGCCCGGGCAGCAACTGAATCCCAACTGTCAAGAGTTCTTTAATGTTCACGCCAAGCTATAGGCAGGACTTTTCCGACTTACTGATGGTTCAATTTTAATAATTTTATTTCAATAATTCGCTTGCGCGTAGGGGACCGGGTCTTTAGCAGTGGGAGGACACCAGATCGAGGACCAGGAGAAAACCCACGAGTTTGGACAGGCGACCCTAATCCTTGTCACGTACAACCGGGGAATCGAAACCATCAGTTGACACAACGACAGACCTTATGATACAATGTACGTGCACGCGCTAACCAATCGACCATCCAACCACGACCCCCCGGGCCAGTTATGGAGATTATCCATAGCCTGTGCCTTTGCCAACTATTAATGAATGGACTGACTTGGCTGGGTGACACCAATATACGAACAGGGCTATACTATATACCGGAAAACACCGGAAAACTACCGGAAAACACCATGTTATACTGAATACCGGAAAAACACTAAATACCGGAAAACACACTAAATAACGGAAACCACCCTAAATAGGTAACCCGGAGAAGGGCTATACTATAAACCGGAAACTATCCCTAAACCAGGCACACAGAGAACCAGGCTCCCTGTTATTTATTTAGGGTGCTAGTCTCCGGGTTACCTATTTAGGGTATTCTCCGGTATTTAGTGTTTTTCCGGTGTTTTCCGGTATTCAGTATAAAATGGTGTTTTCCGGTATAGTATTGTCGTATGAACACACAAAATAGTAAAATATTATTTTGTGATTATTATGCTTGTTGATACCACGTGGTCGGACAATTAGACCCGGAGAAAATGGGATTTATCTGTTTTGATGACTGAAAATTGCTAAATTTCGACTAAATATAAAAAAAACTTTCTTGAGGTATCATCCAGATTATAAATATTTGACATGTTATCATTCAAATTATTACGATTTTAATAAATGTTAGCTGACAATAACGTGCGGATTTCAGTTTTAAAATTGGTACTAGCGATTCTGAAGGGAAAATACCGCTTATGAAATCACTCAAATATGACTGAAAAGCACTCACTTTGGTGCCATGCCACGCATTGACTGGTATAGAGCATTTTGATTACATTATTGACATCGATCTCAGATTTTAAAATTCCAGAACTTTGGATCTAATTAGAATATTTTGATGAAATAAACAAATTTGGGTAGCATTTTATGTATATTTTCACAAAATATTTTTAATTTTTTTTTTTCTGTCATTTGAAACTTTGACCTGAAACCCCTATTAGTATTAACTAAAATTCCACTACCACCGAATCATTTTAAACAGAACTTGGACTAAAGAAATTGGACTATAGAACTTGCCCGGTCACTCGAAATGTGACATGCAGAATTTTATTTTGAATTTTAAGCTCTTTTAAAACGGTAAAGATCTAGGCCTACATACATGTTTATTGTCATGTTTCAATGTCAATTAAATGATTTATGAATGAGATGGAATAATAGCAAAACGAATTAATCATGAGATCGATTCTAAATATATGTTCTGGAATTTATTAAAGAGATGTCAGATAAATGACGTACCTATTGCTGAGCATCGAAGTGATTGTCTTGAGACGGTCTGAAAGGCAGAACCGATTTTTTGAACAGCCCGAAACATTTTCTTTGATTAGTGACCTTGCTTTCCCTTTGCCGAAAGAAAGCTCCCACAATGCAGCATTCTCATTTTCGGTTAGAACATTTACTGGATTTGGATTTACATGCGATTTCTTGTTATTTTTCATAGCTTTGAATGATTGATTTGATATTAACATAGTCATCACAGATTTGTGTTTTCAGTCTAAATGCTAAGAATGGAAAAAATAATATTATTTGCAACGATTTTTCAAATTTAAAGTTTTACTTCAGTCAGTCCAATAAAATTTTTTAGATACCGCTGTATAGTCACGTTCATTTCCGCTTCCGGAAATTTGTCACTTCCGTCAACATGAAAAATCTGACAAACAAGAATCGCCTTTACTATATATAAGATTTGATTTTCTGAGTCTAGTTGCAGAGGTTTAATTAATAATTTATCTGGGTAAAATTCCTGAACAAAACCCAAAATGATCGAATTTTGTTCTAAAAGGCGAATGATTTTTATCATTGCAATACTTACTTGGTAAGTAAATTTATAAATAATAAAATAGAACTGAACTGAAATTAAATGAAATAAAAAGAAATGGGGTTTAACGTCCTACTGTTCTGCTCCGAACTGGGCTAATAAAGACAGGCTTACACCATACAGTGTGCTATGAGGGAAATTTTGCCCGGACAGCGGCAGTACGGCCTACTCTTATATCAAATTCCAACTGTCAAGGGATCTTTAACGTGCATGCCAATGTGTTCACGGGACCTCGGTTTTTCCGTACCATCCGAACGACTAGGACATCTGTCCTTGTCAGTCCCTCCATCTTGCACCACTGACAAGGGAGAACCACGCCGAAAAATCTGGATGAACTTTCTCGGCCAATGCACGGATCGAACACCCCACCTTCAGGCTAGCGAGCTAGCGTCTTACCCACGTGATCCCCCTAAAATAGAACTAATTTATTATTAGAAGAGGTTTAGGGCCTAAGGTAAAAAGATTTGAATGAAAGGAAAAACAAAATGGGATTTAATGTCCTTATTTTCTGCTGCGCCAGGGCTAATAAAGATGGGCATAAACTTGCTAGGAGGGATATTTTGCCTGAACAGTGGCGTTACGACCTACATGCACTGTTACTTAATCTTTTTTTACATGTAGCCAACATACACGCCAATGGACCTTGCTTTTTCGTTCCATCCCAACGAACGACAATACTATATATACTGGCAAACACCGAAAAACATAGGAAAACAACTGGAAAAGACCATGTTTTACTGAATACCGGAAAACACATGGAAAAACACTAAATATCGGAAAACACACTAAAAACGGAATACACCCAAATTAGGTAACCCAGAGCCTGGTCCTCTGGGTGTGGGGGGTTATTGTTAGGTTTTTCCGGTATTCAGTATAACATGGTGTTTTCCGGTAGTTTTCTGGTGTTTTCCTGGTAGTTTTCCGGTGTTTTCGGGTATATAGTATAGCCCCAAACGAATATACGTCGTCCCTTCCCCAGGCCCTGCGTCCTAACTTGTACACCACTGACAAAGGGGAACCACGCTTGAAAATCCGAATGAACTTTCTTACCAATGCAGGGATCGAACACGGGACCTCCAGGTCAGCAAGCCAATGCCAGCGGACAGCTGTCTAGTCGTTCGGATGGGAAAAAAACCTATGTCCTGGATATACATGTACATTGGCATGCACGTAAAAGATCCCATGGCAGTTGGAATTCAATATAAGAGTAGGACATAGTGCCGCTGCCTGGGCAAAATTTCCCTCATTAGCCAAGTCGGAGCAGAACAGTAGGACATTAAACCCCGTTTCATTTCATTTAATGTTTTCATTTTACCCACGTCATTTGGAAACATTGCTACACAAAATTTATGTAAATAAATAAAATATCATCAGATTGATTAAGTAGCAAATATTTAATTGGCCGTTTTTAATTTTTGGGGGGTCGTTTTGACCAAATATTAGTAAAAAAATTCATAACTTTTTTTTTTTTCAGTTTAAGCATAGTGACACTATTCTTTGAAAATAGATGGTCAAATCAACGTATGTTAAAAGAAGCCAAGGTTGCTGCTGCAGGTAAAACAAGAAATATTTTAATGCATGGTTTAATTATCTTGCACCTATTGGCTTAACGAAGTTAAGGGAGGAATATTGAAATGTGTTCCGTCCTTGCACTGCTGACAAGGGGAAAACCCCAGAAAAACTTTGTTTGCCCACTCTGGGATTTAAGCCATGATGTGGATGTTAAACCCTGTTTCTGTCTCGCCCTCAGTCGAGCTCCACTATTTATGGGCCTGGTCCCAGTAATACTCTGTGTAATGAACCTTAAACTCAATTCATTGGGTTCTTTTTTTTTTACAGCTTTAAGCCCCTTTCTGAATTTTGGTGAAGTGGGAAAGACACTGGCTTGCTAGCCTGGAGGGTCGGGTGTTTTATCCCTGCATTGGCCAAGAAAGTTCATCCAGATTTTCGGCGTGGTTCCTCACTTGTCATTGAGGCTGGACGGGGGGACCTGTGTACACGTTGGTGTGCACGTAAAAGATCCCTTGACATTTGGAATTCGATATAAGAGTAGGGGTTAGTGCCGCCGTCCAGGCAATATTCCCCTCATAGCACAATGGCGTATGCCAGTCTTCATTAGCCCAGTTCGGGGCAGATCAGTAGGACGTTAAACCCCTTTTCATTTCATTTCCTATCTGAATTTTCTTCTGGAGTGAAGACAGGAGTAGGATTGACTGAAAGATTCATTGTTGGCTCTTTTGAGTTTTGAAATTCTAAACAAAAATAAAAATGTTCACTGAACTCAGTAAGCTATTTATTATTCACAACCCTGAAAAACTATAAATTAAATAGATTTGGCCTAAGATTTTAATTTGTTTGTTTATTTTATTTTAGCGCTGATAAATGCCAGTTGTAATCCTGGAGTAGTTACAGTTCTTGAAACATGTAAAATATGTCCTAGGGCGGAAAATGTAAGAGTTTTTATTTTTAAAGAAATATGCGACATTTAGTTAAAGAGTTGGTTGTTCTTGATATAATATTTCAAAAATAGATCATGAAATCAGAATATATTGAGCATTTCATTCATGTTACTTTATTCTGGGCGAAGTTGTGAATGTTTGAATTTTTCACATAAATTGCTGATCGTTGGCAAACGAATACTCAGCCCACATTCTCGATTTTAAAGTGCAGTTTGATATCAAGATGGTAACCTTTATCAGGTTTCAGACAGCGGATACAATTAAATTCATATTATCGGTTTGGTTCGGACATCGATCGATGGTAAATTTCTGTGAAATTTCAAGGCCCCTCGAAGTATGCTCACCCTTAAGGCAGTCTTTGCTTCGTTTATATCTCCCACTAAAATGTCCCATCATCGAGTCTGTCCCAATTTCAACTCATATTTTTTTTGATCAATCAAACCTTTCTCTTATATCCGATGTATCTAATCAGTTTACATGTTATTTCTAATAAATATAAATCAACATAGTCACAAAATAAAGAGAGGGCAACCCTCGATTGTCTTCTTTCATCAATCATTCATGCAATTTAACTAATTTTAAAAATAATATCGTTTTACAGAAAAAAGAATTAAGTTTTTGTAGACAGACTGGTTATAAAGAATTTGTTCAATGTCCTGATGGAAAGAAAATATTCCGTGGGTAAGTAATATTGTCCAGTAGATTGGTATTGAGAAATGAACCGACCTGGCTAACAAAGACCTTGCTGCCAATTCCTCCACCCAGTTTAGGTTAGTCCGCCTCCCTAACACACCAACATACACAAATAATGCTGGAGAAGCAAGATGACCTAACCCTTAACCCGTATGCATCATTTTGACATCATGACATCAAGAGGTCAGGCTAAATAAAGACTAAAGTGAAATATTTTGTATGCATATTTCAAAAGACCACTGCCAGATAATTGTAAGTGATAGACTCTTGACACCAATAAAAAAAGTTTAAGGGGATAAGTTGATCTATAATATGCACCCTGTCTCTTGTTTTCTAAATCATTTTCATCAGAAATATCGTCTTCAGAATCGGTTTCATCAATATAATCCGAGTCGGAATCATTCACAAGCATTTTAACGTTTTTCGTCAATGCTCTTGACAAGACAATTTCCTTTCTGACACGCATGCATTAAATACAAAACACAAATACTCAAATGCAGCTTATAAAATAGGTTCTTACTGTGGTCGACTGTGACCACTTAGCTGTATGTATGACCTATGGTGACTATAGTTGACAAAGGCCGACTAAGGGTTAAAGAGAGTTTCCTCCCTTTGAACAACAATAAACACCTACGCCAGAGCCATCTAGCTAACTATTGCCTCAATAGTGCCTGTGTAACAGAATGACTTTTTATACGCCCACATTTTCATGTGGACGTATTATGCCGTCACCTCTGTCTGTCCATCCGGACGTCCATCCACAATTTGTTATCCGATTTTGACGAAACTTGAAATATAGGTTTATCTCCAAAAGATCGTGGCTCCTTTCAATAATGGCATGTATCGGATGGAAACTACATGGATTATGGTCCATGATTGTACGAAAAAATCGCCTTTTTAGCTTGTAGACATTCTAGAGGTCATAATTTTTCTCCGATTTAGATGAAACTTGAAATGTATATTTATAACCAAAAGATCCTGTTTCCTGTCGATCTTCGCACATATAAGACCGCAGCTGCCTGCATTATGGCCCTTGATTGTACGAAAAATCATGTTTTTAGCTTGTAGTCACTCCAGAGGTCACAACTTTTATCCGATTTAAAAAATCATTCAAATATATCATCATTGTACAATGTTCGCAAATAGTGTAAAAGTATGTAATACCAAGGTTTATATCCCGAAGATCTCGGTTCCTGTAGATATTCACGCATATCACACCGTAACTTCCTGGATTGTACGAAAAAGCGCATCGTTTTTTGAGATTGTTCTCTGTCCATCTCTTGCAAAATGTGGGCCTATCTTTCATAGAAATCGCTTGTTATCTTATCTTAGTGCAATGTAATTATAGATTGTTACATAGTTCCCACTTATAATATCTTATTCACTGACACTAGTTATTTTACATGTTGATCTATAAATGGTACACTTACAGGGGGTTAGATGGCCGAATGGTTAGCGCGGTGCGCGCTGTATCATAAGGTCTTGTCATTGAGTCAACTGGTGTGGTTTCGATTCCCTGGTTGTACATGATAAGGAGTAGGGTCGCCTGTCCAACCTCATGGGTTTTCTCCAGGTCCTGCGGTTTCCTCCCACTGCTAAAGACCCCTATGCGCAGGCGTATTATTGAAATAAAATTGAACCATATGTTAGTCCCGAAATGACCTATGTTGTGTCGAGTGGACGTTAAACCCCATTTCTCTCTCTCTTTTCTACTCCAAACTCTTTACATGGCTTTCTACTTTACATGACTATATGGATTTTGACTGTATCCATTTCTTTCCCTTGCTTTTAAACATCCATTTCCTTGGTGAAATAATTATTTCATTTCTGTTAGATTGTCACGAAGAAAATGATTTGTTAATGGGTTTTTTTTGTATGTTTTGTTTCAGATGTGATTTGTTTTTACCTGCTAATGAAAGAAAAACATTCTGGATATTTGAGGCTAGCTGGTTAATAGTTGCTGTTGTCTTTTATTCCATTGTTAGAAAAAGACAAAAAGTACTGGATAATCAAGCAATGGACAAAATAAACAAACAGATAGCATCAGGATTATGATGAATGCATAATTTGTCTCAAAGGTTCAGGTCAACTTTCAGAACAAAAAATAAAACACCCCATATCTGTCAAAATATGCAACATTTTTATACAGCGGTATGATATTTTGTTGGTTTTATCATTCCATAATTTATTGGTAAGTCCATTCTATTGAACTTTCACAACACACAAAATCTGGTTAGTTGCAACAGTTGAAGACTGGGTTATACGATCAGTTATATATCCAGTTCCTTTGAATCCCTGTGTATTCAAAATATTCACCATCGATCCCCTGTGTATTGAAATTACTCAACAACTTATTGGAATAAACATCAAACTAATATTTGATCCCAATCCTGGACATTAACCTTTTTGAAATTCCGAAGTTGACCTGGGCCTTTAAGTACCATCCTTTCTTCAGTTGTGTATTTAGGATTTCAACAGTTTCCTCCCATTGCTAAAGACTACTACGAGCAAGCAAATTATTGAAATAAAATTGAACCATATGTTAGTCCCAAAATGACCTAGTTTGTGTCAAGTGGATGTTAAACCCCATTTCTCTCTGTCTGACACAAACTTTAACAATTATCGCAAGGTATCGGTGCACTTGTGAGTTATAGCAATCTAATATTATTGGAGGTTAATATTACCACAGTATCAACCCTGTACACGTGTAATTCAAAGCATGTTGTTATTGGAGGCTAATATTACCTAAGTATCAACCCCTGAAGGTTGATATGGGGAATACCCACATTTAAACATCAATGGTTGCAATGGGAGATATAGCCTGTAGTATACAGTGTTTAAGATGGTATCCAAGATTTGACGCTGTGAACATGGATTAACTAAGCCAGTTAATGGGCCTTTCCGTAATTGAATATAGATGACCCAAAGAGGGGGGGGTTTGGGGTGTCCAACCCCCCTCCCCTCTGCTCAGCTACATAAATTTTTTTGTAAAACAACACTTTTTATGAGAAAAGTGTCTCAGCCGTGTGCTTTAGCCTTTATCTTCAGATGGTGGGATGGGATGGGCAATCAAAGCGCAAGATACTGATATAGACATATGTGATATCACAATTAAATGCTTTGCATCAATGAAATTGAATCCCAATGTCATCGGTATTAATTAATAATAAAAATTAACGTCAAATGGGATGTTGAATTTCTCTGTTTAAAAAGCTCAATGTGTATGTATATACACCAAAATGACGATAAGAGACCATATATTTCTCAAAAAATTTCAAGGTCTCAGGAACCTGGCAAACTTCTTCCTGCAAAAATTCCTGGATCCGCCCTGCCAAAGGCCTCACACATACATTATAATGTTATATTCTATAACATTCTCTGTTCAGTTAAGTAAGGTGGATTCAGAAACTAAGGGCCTCAGAATTTATAGAAACTGTGTAAATATAGTATTTGTTGATGATGTATTTATATACACTGTAGTGTAACCTCTTTCACATAACAATGTACCCCTCCCCCCCCCCCCCCAGCTCTACGTTTATTATCAAACTGTTGCAAAAATCTTTTGTCAATCAAATATGTCACAACCATACCTGGATCTGAGGCCTGTATTGTTAATAATCAGTGGTTTGTAATTGTGAGTGGTATCTGTCCAATGTGATTAAAACACAGATCTTATTTCGTTTCGTTTTATTATAGTTCAAAATTTCGTTTTACTTGTCTTTACTACACTAGGATCTGGAAAAGTTGTTATATACATGTAACCCACTTTCTGATTGATGTGAGGGATTAGCCAATGAAACATTCTGTTGCAGTGAGATCTTAGCGTGCGGTGAACAGAATTGTGGATAGCCCAGTAGAAACATCAACACTGATTAGTTAATCAAAAGTCTGACGTCAAAGGGTCAAAACCCGCTCGTATGACCCCTGACGCGACCTCCCACTACAACTGGTCAGATCTTCATGTAGTTGTGGCCATCGAAAGTATAAAAAATGAAACGAAATTTAGATCAGTATTTTAATCAGATTGTGGTCTCTTAAGGGTTGACTGTCAGTTCTCCATTAAGTTTAAATACAGTAAACCTCGCATAAATCGGATTCGTATATAAGTCGGATCTTTGCTCAACTCGGATAAAAATTTTTGGACCCTTTGATCCTGCACGTTTTTCTTATTAAATTTCTGCGTGTAAGTCGGATGTCCTAAGTCGGATCTTTGCTCAACTCGGTTCAAAATGTTCGGTCCATTAGATCTAATTCCGGCTTTTTTCCTTTGCCTAAGTCGGATTGGCAGTATGTTCAGAATTTGACTGTCAGTTTCGTCCCGATGGTCTAAAATGCGATTAGGTATTCCATGCACAGAGCCCTAAAATACTTTCCTCTATCATTTTGACACAAATCAGTCTATTTGACGTGACACTTTCCAGGAAAATTTAGGACATTTTTCCAAGATGGCTACAAAATGGAAGTTGTCTACTCGCACCAAAACGGAAGTTATCTACTCGCACCAAAACGGACGTTATCTACTCTCACATACGGACAAAAGTTTGAAATGTGTCTTTGAATCAATTATTATCCGACTCTTGCAGTTTATTTCTAATCGAGCTAATATTGAATTTCGGTCTTCGGCTAACTCGGATCTTCGCTTAATTCGGATAAAATTGTTCAATCCACTTAGATCCGACTTATGCAAAGTTTACTGTATGTGCTTGGTGTCTGTCATATCTTCATTCGTTCAGTTTTATGATGTCTAAATGTTTACAATTCTTCTATGCGTATATGTAACTCATGGGCATTACAATCTGATTCAAACACAGATCCTAGTTTCGTTTCGTTTTTTAATTGTTTAAAATTTTGTTTTACTTGGCCATCGAAAGTTTAACGAAAAGAAATATAGATGTATATTTGAATCAGATTGTTTGTATTATAGATGTATATAAAGATTAATATTATCTGTATATAAAATAAACATG